GACCCCAGACTTATCTTTTGATAGCCGGGCACCATCAGCTTTCTTCACATCTGGTTATTCACCCGCTTTGTCTTCAGCAATCTTGTGGGAAGGTGAGCATCATGGAATGCCAGTTTAATGGAACAAAGTGTTCTTGCATTGAGGGAGTACTTGAGTAAAGGCCCAATGACCATCATAGCAGTTGGTTTTATCCTCACAACAACCCCATGGGAGAAAGTCTATTATTATTATTATTATTACCCCGATTTTATAGGGGGGGAAATGCAGACACAGAGAAGTTAAGGAGCAGAGTAAAAGTCAGCACTTGCAGTTCTGTGGTGAACTGTCAGGTGGCACTCAAGAGGAAAACCTAACAACAATATGAGGGACTGCAGCAGTCTACGCAAGAAGTGACTGCATTACCAGGAGAATGGGGAGGGGGGAGGGGGGGACGGGGAGTCAGTGTTCTGGAAAAGTAATCAGAAAATAGAATGGCCAAACCTTGGTAATGTTGCCCTGGGTGAGACTGCCTGGACTGAAATGAATTGGACTGGAATAGAATGAGTTGGATGGAAAGAGGCAAGACTGATCCAAAAGTTGACCCACGAGTTGCTGCGTGGATCTCAGCCTTTGACTGAAAGCAAAGGAGATTGAAAAACTCTTGTTTGGGCTGTGTTTATCCGTTTACCCACGAGTTTGCATTTGGCAGGGGTTGTGAAGCATAAATGCATTTTGACCGTAGTCCATTAGAAATCTTTTAAGATTTTCCCAGAACCACTACAATGACTGGTTAAAAAAATAAAAACAGGCTCTCAATACATAACATTGTATGAACAAGTAACAAATAAATTAGATAAATACAAGATACATGCTTAGAACCAGCTTAATATAAAGATTCAACTAAATTCCTATTTCAACGATCATTCTTCTCATTCAGTATAAGACTCGATGCTTGATTGTGGTCTGGTACATGGGATTGGAGTTGTTTCATTATACTATGCGATCTAGACTTCTCCCATTAATTCATAATCAGGTTAGCCTAAAAGCATATAAACTCAGATAAAATAGCTCACTACCATGACTAAATCATCCCAGTCATTCAAAAATTCCCTTTCTTCCAAACCCAAGAAAACAATGAAACATCTATATTTGGGTTTGCAGTCATAGATGCAGCTAATTACTATTTTTCAAGAGAATAACAGAGAGATTTAGGATCTACAACAGAATGTCCTATTTACAGCCCTAATTTATAAGTGCTAGACCAAACTATACTGCTAATCCCTATTTGAGTTCTATGGTTCCTGAGGTCCCGTATATAAAATGCTAAATGAGTCTTTGGAAATTTTGACTAGCTAAAAGAATATTATAGTAAGTAAAAATATTTTGCGACATATATGTTCCAGTTCATACATACATAGGTTTATTCTAAACAAAACATGTTTAATCAGGTCTCTGTGAAGAGCATGGCTGCTGAGAAGTTCTTTAAACACACGTCTTTTTTTTTTCCGTTCCAACTTTAGTATATGTGCTGCCGAAGCAAGCACGAGTCTTTTTTTTTTCATTAGTCATTGTTTTAATAATGTATGCTTCCACAAGAATGTCTTTCAAACACAATCATTTTCTATTTTTCCAGTGGATATTTATATATATCGTTTTATTAGGAGCTCATATAATTCTTCTCACAATCCATACATACATCAATTGTGTAAAGCACATTTGTATATTGATTGCCCTCATAATTCTCAAAACATTTGCTCTTCACCTAAGCCCCCTGGCATCGGGTCCTCATTTTTTCCCTCCCTCCTTCCTCCCCCTCCCTCATGAACCCTTGATAATTTATAAATTA